TCTCATCAGATCTACTTAAAAAAATGACTTCATGTGGTAGAAAGCAATTGAACTAGTTTTATTCAACTTAAAAAACTACATTGATTGAAAGAATCGTTCATTCAAACTACTTATTTAGGTTAAATAAAACTAATTAATTTACTTCTTACCACATTTAGTAATTTTTTAGGTAGATCTGATGAGACACTTTACAGTGTACTTTTTTTTATAAATATTATTTATTACCTTTTTCTGACAACACTGGCCGTAAAGAGGGTCAGAGGAACTTTGTCTCCGGGTTACAGTTAACTTGTCTATGCTAACATGAAGCCATTTAACTAGGTTTTTTACTGCAGCAAGTCACCCTAAGGTGAGCTGAAGTTCCAAAGCACGTCAGCAGTCATTCTCGATTCTGTTCACATGAAGTAAATTCAGACTCTAACACTGGCTGCTTTATCTCTCCATCAAGCAGTGCAGCACTAAAATAACTGAAGGGGAAGTAACAAGTTGAGGCATTTTAACACTGCAGTTTTGTGGTTTGCACTGAGGGCTGCAGTCTGGTCTTTTCTACATCTGTGCAGCAGTTTCCGCGAAGGATACTACAGCTACATACTGGCAGGGTCGCCTACAGAGCAGCTCTAGTAGCCTCTTAATGACGTAATGCTCTTCTTTATTTTAAGGTTGGCCCATATACAGGGGAAGATTTCAAACACTACCCCTTGTAACTCAGTTTCAAGGGACAAGGTGACACTAAAAAACAAGGGGCAGAGGTAAAAATAAGAAATGAGATTCAGCCTTATTGTAATCAAAAGCATAACAGTGTGAAAAGTGTGAAGGGACAATGGTGAAGAACAGGACAGAACACAAAACTTACTTAATCAATGACACAGGAAAACAAGTTCACAGTGACAAGCCTGACTCCGTAGTAGGCTACAGCCAGAATACTGCACCACTTACAGCTGCACTGATCTCACCACCGAGAGGCTGAAAGAAATGATGACTTTATGGCTTTGTTCTTAAACCTTTACTTGTTAAAATGCAGATATCGGGGGCTCCCGAGTGGCGCAACCGTCTAAGCGTTGGTCCTCATCAGGAGATCGCGAGTTCGATCCCTGGTGATGCTACAACCATGCGTAGCCGGGAGTCCGAGAGAGCACAATTGGCCTCGCTCTCTCTGGGTGGGTGGGATGGCTGCCCTTCTCCCCCCATCACTAACTCAGCGCGATGCTAGTCAGCGCAGGCGTCTGTTAGCTGACGTAACAGATCTGGCGGTTGGCGCTTTCCTCCGAGCGCGTTCGGCTGTCCAATGACGTTGCGTGAGCGGCAGCTCGAAAAGAAGTGGTGGCTGGCTTCACAGGTCTCGGAGGAAGCCTGTGTTAGTCTTCGCCCTCCTAGCGTTGATAGCATCGTGTGGAATTGGCTACGACTAAATTGGGGAGAAAATCGGGGTAAAATGCAGATATCTATAAATGCATGATAATGAAAACTGCAAAGGCCTCCCTGCTGCTCTGTTTTTAACTACCCACTACCTTGCAGACTGTCTCTGTATAGTCAACTCAGGTCAAGTCAAAGTTTATTTATGTAGCTTTTTGTAACAGGTGTTGTCACAAAGCAGCTTTACAGAAAAATCCGGGTCCGAGCCCCCAGGAGCGTCGCCAATGGCAAGAAAAAGAAATGGCAAAGAAAAACGACCATTGCTAATTGCTAGTAGGTCAGGGTGTTTTTTGTGGTTCTCTGGTTCTCTACTTCGTCTATCTCGGACTCAACCCTAAAGACTGTTATGTATGTTTACAGTCTACTGTCACCCCATCAATCACTGATGACTGATCATCTTCGCCAGCTTCAAAAATGACTTGAGAAGCTGAAGAACTGGCTCTGGAGATTTTGATTTCCAAGTCAGTTTCAGTCTTCAATGCTGTTGACCAGTAATGTCCTGAATTTCTATATAAAGTTGTGGCTTTTCCATCAAAATTAACTGTCAATTTTAAAGCCAAAAACAGTTTTTTTTTTTTTTTTTTTACATTCGCATCTCATAAGCTAAAAAAAATTATGTATAATACTCCACAGGTCCATAGATACTGGTCCATGACTGCAGTTACCTAAAACAGTTACAGTCAGAGTTTTGTTTTTTTGTTTCAGCCCGGTGCTTCGGCCAAATACAGATCATGGGCCGTATTACAGAAACTTCTTAAGTCTGAAATCTTATTTTATCTGCTTAGTCTGCTGAATTTAGGACAGAAGTTAATACACAACAACAGTTCTTAAGTTCATAATCTCATCATTAACTCCAGATAAGAAAACAGTATCACACAAACATGCTAACTAGACTAAACCTCCTAAATACTGTCCTAACTTTAGGATAAACCCCAGAGCGTCTTAACTTCTGTTTTAAATGTTTTATGCTGTGTCAGGCAGCAAAGTTCACTATAACCAACATAATGATGCTACATTTATCTACACTGAAAACTGTGCTTTGACTTTTGAGGGTTTTTTTCAGACAGCGTTTTAAAAATCTCAGACTCTGCAGACTCGATCTCCACCGTCCCTCTTATCACCTTTGTGTGTTAATGCTGATGAAATATAACAGTGATGGTGGTAAATAATGAGGAGACGGAGCTGAACGTGTGTTTGTTCCTCAAGCGATCAGGTTTTTAAATTCACAAGGACTGATCTGAATACCCCCTCACACACATACTCTACACTCACACACCTCTTTTGATGCTCTACTTGCACTATCTGGAACATTGCTGCTAACACTGTGTTTACACTGTTTACTCTAGTGCTACCTCAGTAACTGCTGTGTTTATGTATGATATCTGACTGCGTAACTCACAGATCACAGCATGTTAAATATCTCTGCACCTTATTCCACAACCCTCCCTCATGTCCAGAAATGAGTGCTGTGTCGACGCTGCACTGTCCTGTCTGTTTACTGTCTACTGTCTGTTTATCATATTTATTGTATTGTTTCTAGTTTAATTTTTTGTTTGCACACTATGTCTGCATGTTTGCACTTTGTACTCTTTCGTTCCATGTTGCGCCGTGTTGTTCCTGGAGGAACGTAATTTCACTCCATTGTGTACTTGTACATAGATGGAATGACAATAAAAGCCTTTTGACTTGACTTGTTTAATAGGAGGAATAACGTTAGCGCGCTCAGCTAAAGCATTTGGGAAATGGAGACTGAAACCAAGGAGCGGTGACGCTCTGATAAACAGCAGGGGGCGCTCTTATCTTGACCTGTCAGAGCTTAAGCTAAGACAAAAAGACAGGAAGTTTCTGTAATATGGCCCCAGGACTTCCAGGCTACAGAGAAGCTTCTTCCCACAAGCCATCACTCTCTTGAACAGTTAACTTATTACATACAAACAATATTCAAACTGCACCTCTTATATATATTGGTCTATAGTATATATGGTATATAGTAACACTCAACATTCCATCCTCTGTAACTACAGTCTCAGACCAGCGTTTTCAGCACCTCACTTACATGACTTATTACCAGCCTTATTACCTCACTTACCTGACTTATTACCTCACTCACCTGCCTTATTACCCACTTACCTACTTACCTGCCTTATTACCAGCCTTATTACCTCACTTACCTGCCTTATTACCAGCCTTATTACCTCACTTACCTGCCTTATTACCAGCCTTATTACCTCACTTACCTGTCTTATTACCAGCCTTATTACCTCACTTACCTGCCTTATTACCTCACTTACCTGCCTTATTACCTCACTTACCTGACTTATTACCAGCCTTATTACCTCACTTACCTGTCCTATTACCAGCCTTATTACCTCACTTACCTGTCTTATTACCAGCCTTATTACCTCACTTACCTGTCTTATTACCAGCCTTATTACCTCACTAGTCCCTTTTTAGCCACTATACATCCTTTAACTGCTGCTGCACTCAGCACTTTCCACAATGCACAATGTAAGGTTTACAGGTATGACTGTGTGTGTAGGTGTGTGTGGTAGGAATGTATGTTTTATTTTATTTTATTTACTACTGTAAAAATCTGATACTGTGCACTGTGAGCTCCTGTAACTAAAACCACATTCCTTGTATGTGTAAACATACCTGGCCAATAAAGCTCGATTCCGATTCTGATACGAAGAGCAGCAGGCAGTAAATTCTCATCAGCCTGTAGAAAAGTAAGGAAAGATTAGTGTGTGGTATTTTGTCTGATCCATTACATGAACTATATGGTGAATATATAATATTTTGCCTTCAAATAGACGTTTTAGAGAACCGAAGTCGAGACTTAACAGGTTTAGAAACTCCTTCATGCCTCAGTCAACTGTGATACTTAACCAAATGAGTGAACCGCTTAGATGAGTGCTCAGGTGGTAACGCACAGATATTGGGTTGTAGGGTGTATAGTGGAATCTGGTGATGGTGTAAAGTGTGTTGTTTTGGTTTATTGTAATGTTTGTGTTTGTCTGATTGTTTGTGAAAGTCATCTTTCCCTTGTTCTTTGTAAATCGTAAAGTTCTGCCATTTTTTGTGTTGCTCAATGTGACCAAGCACCATTGGCTAACATGCAAAATTGCCATCCACAGACTTGTGTTATTATATAAAAGTTTGAGGGCAGGCAGTCGTCAAATAGGTGGTACAAGAAACAGACCTACAAAAATAAAGTAGATAATAAAGTAGGTGTTTGTCAGTCTGTTAAACAGTAACAAAAGACTTGCAATGTATTCTGATACACATTGAACTGACATAGTAATCTATGGTGTTCACTGTGCCCTCAAAATCAGTCTGGAAACACTGCCAACAACAGTGCTCTGAAACATACATACAGATTCATTTCATCCAGTCAAAGTGTAACTCCAGTAAATGTAGACAAAGCGTCAAAGTAGACACTTTTTAGTTCTATTTAATAATTCTGGTAATAACTGTATGGGCTTCGCCTTTTACAGCACAGGAAAAAGTGTAAAAGAGGAACAGAAACTCCGCCTCTGCTGCCTCGGGCAACAAAGTCATCAGCATTTCAGAGTGAAACTGTTCAAGGACAGCAGCAGTGAACACTGTAGTTCAAATCAAACTGAACAAAGACTTGAACATGGATCTAAGGCCCAGGATGCTGAGACCTCATCTCATTTTAATGCTTGGTAAATTAAATTTTTATTCCTTTTTTCCAGGAGCAAAATGCTGTGTCTGTAGTTTAGTCATAAAGATGCATTCTATCCATTCTTATAGCAAAGAACTTGTTTTGAGAGGGCAGATGCCACTGGAACAGCTGTACCTTCAATATGTTTCTATACTGAAACTGAAAAAATACGCTACAGTTGAAAGTTTTGACTCGCTGCTCAAAAGTTTAAAGTCAATGTTCTCAATAATATAAAATTAATTTGACTGCAGAAAAATGCATAAAATGATTTTAATGTGCTCATCCTGTGCAACTTCACAAGTTTCAGATCTAGTAGAACATCATAAAGCTGTAAATAAAAAACAAAAAATGTTAGATGTGTTTAGAATGACATAGTATAATTAACATCCAGAATTCATCATATTTCAAAAACTCTCACGGTAGATAACTTGACCAAAAATGAAGTTCTTGCTCCTTGAAATATTGAAAGGTTGAATAAAATATCTTAAATAGTTTTGGTGAATAGTTTATAATATTTAAATCCACATTGTATGAAGTTATTATTCCAATAAAAAATGGTTAACATGCCAAGTGATTCCAAATGTTTGAATGGTTGTCTGCCTACAGTGTATTTTGAATTGAATCATAAATTATTAATAGCATGTTATCTTGTTCTTCTGATATTAGGCCTGGGCGATAGGGTGATGTAATCAGACATCGTCGATGATGGACAAGTAACCTAATTACAATGTGTAAAAGGCGATAATCACTATTTTGGTAAAGACTGAGAATTAGAGAGGACTGATTCACCCTTAAACAGCTTGAAAAAAACGGAGGGAAATTGGGGTTCACACTTCATGCACCAGCAGTCAGTTTCAAAGAGAGAGAGAGAGAGAGAGAGAGAGAGAGAGAGAGAGGGGTTGCTGTATATGTTGAGTGTTGTGTTATTTCTCTCTGCTACGCACTGAAATCCTCCCTTCACCACACAAATTCCTCTTAATTTACTTGACATGAATAGAATATAAAATAAATGCTGACGCGCTTTGGAACTTCAGCTCTCTTCAAAGTGACTCGCAGCTGTAAAAAAACGAGCTGAAATGACTGAAAGTTAGCGTAGACCAGCCAAGTTACCTCTAATCTGAGGAGAAAGTTCCTCTGATCCTCGCCTTCGGCCGGTGTGCAGTATTTTCTGTGCACAGTGTCCTGGTGGTTAGCTGGATTATGAAAACGCTGCTGCAAAGAAAGAAAATGACTTGTTTTCAGTGTGGAAATCACTTTGTAAATCACTTGCAGTCTGACGTTCCTCCAGCAGGGAGCTCTAAATCGTCATGAATCTGCAGCAGAAGAAGCTCATGAACACGCGTGTTTACAGTAACATTATAATGACAGGTGACAATACTCAAAAGATGTTGGGTTACTCAGTATGAAAGATTTATTAAAGATTTTCATTAAAACAGTCAATATTTTAAAAAGCCTATAGTCTAAAATAGAAAAGAAAGGGGCAATATTATCAATTAATCATGATTTTTAACTAGAAAATATTGTGCTAATTATTTTTAGATATCGCCCAGGCATAACTGGTACTGTATGTTTTGTATTTGTACAGTAAAACTTCAACCTTAACCTTAACTTAGTTAAGTTTGCCACAAGTTTTGGACTTAAAATGCATTAAAACAGTGAAAATGTTACATATTTCCTGCACACAATAACTGTCTTGGGTCTAGAACACAATCTTCCCACAAATGAAGACGCTTAGCTAAACTTTTGCGTCAGATGTTCTCAGTTCTCCTTTAAGTTCTCCTTTAAGTTCTCCTTTAAGTGTTAATGACTTGATTTCCTTTTTAATCAAGCAGTGCACATATGATGGAAACTAAGACGCTGGCATAGCCGGTTAGTAACTTTCCACTTTATTCTTAGAAAAAAAATGTGTTTTGAGTCTTTCAGTTGTTGCACAGTGAAGCAGAGCATACGCTATACACTGAGCTGCCAATTTATTAGGTATTAGGCTTTGTTCTAACACTCACTGGCCATTATATAAGAAACACCTCCCAGATTGGTGCACATTGCATGTTTAGAGTTACAGACTGCTGTCCATCTGTTCTGATTCTGCAGACCATTTCTGACCATTACAAGCAGAACTTTTGCAATTATTTTGTTTACATTTATTTAAACGTTACTTTATGATTTAATTTAAGTACGTATTTGTTTGTAATGTCTGCAAGTTTTACAATATTAGAATTTAGTAAAAATGCATGCTGCTCTTCACAAAACTGGTATGTTCAAACATCCTAAGCCAGAACTTCAATTCTAAGCCAAAAAATCATGAGATCCATTTAATCAAGGACCATGTAACTGCGAAAGGTCCACCCCACAAATAATATATGGTCAACAGCTGCCCTGTGGTCAGAAACTGATGAATGGGGTGGGGAGGGGCTGATAAATTGTGCAGCAACAGATACATTACAGTCTGTAAGTGTAAGTCTACAAATTACACTGATATGATAGGTGTACTTAATAAACTGGCAGCTGAATGTTAAGGATGATCTGACTACCAAGCTATTAGGACAAAAAGCATTTGATTAAACACATCTATTATATTGAGGGAGCAGGAAAGAGAAGAAGAGGGAAAACATCACTCTATTTGAGCTTTATTAGGGTCTTGCTTCGTCCACAGCTTCCCTCTGAATGAGCTGTGATGTTTGGTGATGTGTTTTTCTGGTGCAGGACAGACTTTCTGGGCAAAAAACTTGAAAAAAGTGTGTTCTGGTTTTAATTATCACTCTTATGGTGTTTAGTTGGTCATTTAAAGCAGCATATTAGCAACAGTTTCATTTCTGCTGTTACTTCTTTGAACTTGCCCTGATCGTTTTCAGTAAAACAGCTGAGTAAGTCTGTATAATGCAAACTGAGTCTGAGAGCTCTTCACAGCCGTTTCCTCACTACACAGTGCCACCCAGGAAATATCGACTATAACTGCAGATTCAACAAGAAGTACCAGTTTGTGTGGTTAGGCTCTCTGGACTGTACATAACATTGCTATTGTAACAAAACCAACTCCATTTTGGTTGTTTTTCTTCATAATTTGAAAGTCAGCTGCTCTTTACATTGTGTAGAAATTTCATGACAACCAACAAACAGAAATGCTCCAAAATGAGGTAGAATAACAACTTTGTTACATTAATTTCATTAGGATAAAATGTTTTTTCTTTCTCATGTTTAGTTACTTTTTGTAGATGTGAGGTTTTGTTCTAACAGAGATGAGAAGTTTATTGGTTGTGTCTTTCGTTTCCACTTTCTGGGTTGTACGTTCAACTCATTTCAACTTTCTTTCAAAACTTAGCTTCCAAACTTAAACCTTCTGTTGTCTATGATAAGTTTTTGAAGTGTAGCCTTTACAGTCCTAATGTTTTAATTGTTTTGTGCATGAAAGTGAAATGCATCAGTGTTTTTATTTTGTCAGAACCAAACTGTTTTCTCTATATTCCCTCTTCGGTGTTCATGCAGAGGTTTGGTGATGTCAGCACCACAAACTCAGTATAGCTATTCCTTATAAGGAAAGTTCAACCAACAGGGACGTCTGGTATTATTGAGGTTTAGTTTATCACAGTACTTTTGCTTTAACTAAAAATGTAGCACTTTATGCTTCAAACAGGGGAAACAAGTTATTTGACTTCCAGTGCAAATATCTACTTTAAATATAAAATGAAATGAAACCATCCTGCCATATGTTTTTCCAATTACGTTTTTCCAATTTACAATCAATTACACGAGTATGCTTTTCTGACCCCAGCCCTACAGGGGGCACTCACAGAACCAGGGATAAGAAATAAGAAACTACATGTAATTGTTTAGTTTTGTAAGCATCCATTCTACCTTACTGACTGTACTGCTGTGAAATGAATGAGCCTCTAGGATTGTGGTGATCATAGCAATGTTTCATTTCACTACACTGCTCATCTATTTTTACTAGCACAGCACCATTAACTAGACAGCCAAGCTAAAGCAGATACTTTTTTGAGCAGTAGAACATTAGCATTGCTGCTGCTGAGTGCTGATAGGTTAGCATTACTGCTACTGAGTGCTGATAGGTTAGCATTACTGCTACTGAGTGCTGATAGTTTAGCATTACTGCTTCTGAGTGCTGATTGGTTAACATTACTGCTTCTGAGTGCTGATAGGTTAGCATTACTGCTACTGAATGCTGATTGGTTAGCATTACTGCTTCTGAGTGCTGATTGGTTAGCATTACTGATACTGAGTGCTGATTGGTTAGCATTACTGCTTCTGAGTGCTGACTGGTTAGCATTACTGCTACTGAGTGCTGATTGGTTAACATTACTGCTTCTTAGTGCTGATTGGTTAGCATTACTGCTACTGAGTGCTGACAGGTTGGCATCATTGCTACTGTATACTGACTGATTGGGATTACTGCTACTAAGTGCTGATTGGTTGGCATTACTGCTACTGAGTGCTGAATGAGTTCTTCAGATTGATGGAGAATGTGCTGTAGGTAGTTCTATACAGGATCTTTTAGAAAAGGGTTCTATATAGCACCGAGAAGGGTTCTTCTATCGTTTCACGTACAACCATATACAACACATTATCCACCAATGTGAAGAACCCTTTCACAATGCAAAAAACCCTCTGATCATGCAACACATTCTTTGAGTGTTCATGGTTCTATATAGAACCTTTTTCTTTACTAAAGAACCCTTGGAGAACCACCTTTTTAAGAGTGTAGCTAACTGACTTGGTATTGTATTTTAAGAAAAGGCATGTTTATTTCATTTATTTCATGCAAACATCTTCCCATTCTTGGTTGTGCAGCACCAAACCACTTTAACTTGTTCCACACTTCCTCTTTCCTCCTTCTAGAAATCCTCTGCGGATAATTAATAACATTAGCACACATTGGATCAGATTCACTTTGGAGTGACTCTCCTGACTCAGTTGAGACTCGGTTGAGACTCATAAGCATTGGTGGCATCGTTGTGCACATGTTTTTGAGAAGTTTTTTATTTA